GTTGGGTGACAACCCGGCATCCCACAGCGCGGGCAGAAATGCCAGCCCAACAGCTGGGAACGGGATAGCCCTTCCCAAACGCATAAACGGCCATTCTGACATATTTTAAAAGTCTATTCCTTTGAAATTGACCAAAACAAATTCTTTAAAACTTGGGGCTGGAGAGATAGCACAGAGGGTAGGGCGTTTGCCTTGCACACGGCCGACCCGGGTTCGATTCCCAAGCATCCCATATGTTCCCCTGAGCACCGCCAGGAGTAACTCCTGAGTGCAGAGCCAGGAGTAACCCCTGTGCATCGCCGGCTGTGACCCAAAAAGCAAAAAAAAAAAAACAAAAACAGGAGGGCAGGAGAGATAGCACAGCGGGTAGGGCGTTTCCCTTGCACGTGACTGACCTGGGTTCGATTCCCAGCATCCCATAGGGTCCCCTGAGCATCACCAGGAGTAATTCCTGAGTGCAGGAACCAGGAGGAACCCCTGTGCATCGCCAGGTGTGACCCAAAAAATTTAAAAAAAATGAATAAAAAGAAACTTAGCATTCGTGTGTCATAGGAACTAAATGACAGAAAAGATGTTGGCACACAGCATCTCCAGGTTCAAAACGTGAATACACAAGGGGCTGGAGAGATAATACAGGGGTGAAGGTGTTTGCCTGTACACGGCCATCACTCATTCTATACCCAGCATCACATAAGGTCCCCCTCACGCTTCCAGGAGCCAGCCCTGGGCACAGCTGGGTATGGTCCAAGGCCCCCACCCCCACCCTGCAAAAATAGTACAGCTGGGCCAGAGAGACGGCACAAAGGCTAAGGTCCTGGACTAGCACGCGCTACAGTCAGGGCCCGGGTTTGAATCCCAGCACCGGAGTGCCTGAGCACTGCCAGGCCTGCCCCGGAACAGATACCTCGGTGTAGTCTGCTGGCCAGGTGTGGCCAAAAAAAAAAAAAAAAATAGAAGGGATAAAGATAAAAAGCAAATACTTGACTCAGAAATTCTAGTGAGAGGCTGGAGCGATAGCACAGCGGGGAGGGCGTTTGCCTTGCACGCGGCCGACCCAGGTTCGATTCCCAGCATCCCATAGGGTCCCCCAAGCACCGCCAGGAGTAATTCCTGAGTGCAGAGCCAGGACTAACCCCTGAGCATCGCCGGGTGTGACCCAAAAAGCAAAAAAGAAAAAAAAAGGAAAAATTCCAGTGAAAGGAAGATACCTGAACAACTGGATATCCACACAAAACTGTAATCACAAGAATTGCTGCAGTACTTTTGACAAGAAACATGGAGGCAAGAAACATCAACAAAATGCGCCTGAACAGCTCATTTGTGCTAATCCCTACTAAGAAAGAAATGCTCTTCGGTTCTTCAAAAATGGTCTTGCCTGGAATAACAATGGGTGGGGCAAAGGGCCCATCACCGGGAACAGCAGGAACCCAGGAAAGGGAGCTGGGTGTGTTAACACTATTTCTGCCAGGTGACTGATGGGAGCAGGCAGGATTTCTCTCTCCTTGTGTTTTTCTGTGCTCTCCAAATTCCTTTGGAGCAAGTCCTGCACCACTCAAGTAAACATACTTTGAAAGGTGTTTATGAACAGAGAAGGAAAGACATCAGGAGGTGGGGGGGGGGGGGGGGGGGGGGATGAGAAAGGGCTTAATGGGGAAGCAGGGTTCAGGGACCTTGGGCTCCTGGGAAATGTGAGGGCGTTGGTACAGCTAATATCCAAACCGCAGACTCAACAACACGGAAGACAAGGGATCCAAACTACGGTCACCAAACTTCAGAACTGCCTGTCGAGGTGGCAGGTCCGGGCACCGGGGAGGAAACTTGGGAACATTGCTGGGGGGAAGTCGACATTCTTGGTGGGACTGGGGTTACAACAACATTGTAAGACTACACTGCAGCACTGTCCTCTCTTGCGGGTACCAGTAACGTCTCCACTGTGAGACTTGTTGTGACTGTGTTTGACATACCGAACATGTCACGGGGAGCTTGCCAGGCTCTGTCGTGCGGGCGGGATACTCTCGGTAGCTTGCCGGGCTCTCCCAGAGGGGCGGAGGAACCGAACCCGGGTTGGCCGCGTGCAAGGCAAACGCCCTAACCTGCTGTGCTATCGCTCCAGCCCACAACATTGTATGTTTGAAACTCAACGATCACTGATCTTGAGCGGAAATTTTTTCAATCAAGGGGCCAGAGAGAGAGACAGCAGGGCAGGCAAGGTGTCTGCCTCACATTCAGTCAACCTGGTTCCATTCCTGGCACCACACAGAGCCCCCCAGAGCCTCACCAGGAGTGATGCCTGAGAGCCAAGAGTCGGCCCCAAGCACTGCTGGGTGTGGCTTCAAAACCAACAAATCACGATCACGATCAAGACCATCCTGTTGTTCATCGATTGCCTCGAGCAGGTCCCAGTCATGTCTCCTTTGTCCTAGCCCTGAGATTTTAAAAAGTGCCATATTCAAGGCTCTTTCAGGGTTAGGAGAATGAGACCCGTCATTGTTACTGGTATTTGGCATATTGGGTACGCCACGGGGAGTTTGCCAGACTCTGCCGTGTGGGCAGGCTACATTCGGTAGCCTGCCAGTTTGTCCAAAGTGGGAATGAGATAATAAGATGTCATAATAAGATGTTCCGGGAGCTGGTTTTTATAGTCTCTGGGTCTTGGCCATTGATGGGATTGCATGGTGCCAGGGGGCCAGCTGGTGGGTGTGACCCTTGCCTACTGGAAGGTGGAGGATCTGGGTGGAGGATGTTTTGTTTTGGACCAACAAAACAACAACAAAATCAAACGTCAATTCTCACCAGGGCCAGAGAGACAAATAGTGGCCAACTCCGCTGACACGAGGGACCTGGAAGAGTCAAACCCACAGAGACAGAAAGTAGAAGGGTGGCGGCTGGGGCCTACGATGGGGACATGGGGATGGAGAGGGTAAGGGCACAAAGTTTGGGTTCTGCAAAACGAGGCGTCCTAGAGATGGAGGGTGGGGGCAGACGGGCGACAGCACGGCAGTCCCTGACGCCACTGAACCACCCGTCTGAAAATGGTTAGAAGGGGAAATTTGGGGGCCCGAGAGAGAGCACAGTAGGCAGGGCACTGGCCTTGCACACAACCGCCATGAGCTTGCTCCCCGGTACCCTACATGGTACCCCGCCCCACATCAAGAGTGAGCCCGGACTAAGAGCAGAGCCAGGAGTAAGCTCTGAGCACTGAGGGTGTAGCCCTGAAACAAAAGAAACAGAAGAGGGCGAATTTTATATCAGGTGCTTTTTGAAAAGGCACAATTTCTCGATCAAAAGCCGTCCTGGCGTGGATGTGGGGAGAAAGGGACTCTCCTTCCCTGCTGGTGGGAACGCCGGCTCGTCCAGCCTTTTTGGAAAACCACATGGGCGTTTCTCAAAATCGAGCTCCCATTCAACCCAGCAACAGCACTTCTGGGAATATAACCTAGGGGCCTGAAAACAACACAACAGAAACATCATCTGCACTCCTGTGTTCATGGCAGCACTATTCACCAGAGCCAGACTCTGGGAACAACCAGAGTGCCCAAGAACAGACGAATGGATAAAAAAAAAAAATTAAAAAACAAACTATAGCACATTTACACAAAGGAATACTATGCAACTGTCAGGAAAATGAAGTCATGAAATGTGCCTAGAAATGGATGAACATGAAGAGTATCATGCTGAGTGAAATGAGTCAGAAGGAGAGAGAGAGAGAGAGAGAGAGAGAGAGAGAGAGAGAGAGAAGAGAGAGAGAGAGAGAGAGAGAGAGAGAGAGAGAGAGAGAGAGAGAGAGAAAATGACTACATTCATTTGTGGTAGATAAAAATGTATATTGTTGAAGACTAATATCCATGGCCAGGGAAAACAGGGGTTAGGAGGACTGGTCAATCAATGGTTGGAACTAACCACACGCGTCTGAGGGGGGCTGAGGTAGTTAAGATAAGAGACCAGTATGACGATAACAGCTGGGAATGACCACACTGGACAAGATCTGAGGGTTAAAAGCAGGTAAAGAGAGATTCTCGAAAACCTTTCAGTATTGATGCTGCAAATCACAATGCCCAGGAGGGAGGGAGGGAGGGAGAGAGAGAGAGAGAGAGAAGAAAAACACCTGGCAGGCGGTGGGGAGGGGCGGGGTTGGGGAGTTGGGGGGTGATGGGAGGGAACCTGAGGACCCTGGTTCTGGGAAACGTCCACTGGTGGAGGGACGGGTGTTGGAACACCGTATGACTGAAACCTAATCATGAATAGCTTTGCAAGGGTCTATCTTAACAGTGATTCGATTCAAAAGTTTTTTGAAAAACACAATTTTTTTTTTAAAGAAGGCGATCTGGAAGTTGTATTCCGAGTGGGGGTCTAGGGAGATCCCAGGGGCAGGAACGGAGAGACTGAACCGTGCGGCGGGTCTACTCAGGTCCACTGTGGCAATCTCCAGGAGGCCACGATGCCTCCTCTCTCTGCAGTTCCCAGCAGGGCGTTTCCTCTGCCCTTGCCCGCGGCTCCCAGCTCGCTGCCCGGGAGCTGGAGGACCCAGACAACATCCCAGGCCTCTCCGGGACCAAGGAGCCAGAGGTGTGCTGCCCAGTGTCCTCCAGCTGGCCGTTACCGGAGCCGGGCAGGGACAGGAACCTCCCCCGACAGGTGACGGCAACGCGGCTCGCACGGCAGGAACGGGACGGCAGGAACGGGACCAGATTCGGCGCACAAGTTCCTCCTTGGGAGCACCAAGGAGACACCCCAGGAGCTGCCCCCGAGGGAGGGAAATCGAGGCTGGCCGCACTGGTGAACCCAAGCACCCCAAGGCCGCAGAGTCACAGGCCAGGGCTGGCTGTCCTGTCTCAAGCAGGGCAGGTGGGATGCTGGCCGCTGCACTTGAAAGCTCAGAAGGGAACACACGAGCACGGGGTAAGCGGTCAGCCGGGCCTTCCCAGGGGCCAGAACGAGAGAGAGAGAGAGAGAGAGAGAGAGAGAGAGAGAGAGAGAGAGAGAGAGAGACTCGGCCTCACCTGCTGTCGGCACACTGACGTTATACTGAGGTAAGATAAATAGGAAGGCAGTCTTGGCGGTGACCTGTAAAATAAAGGGGAAAGTTCCCAGTGAGCTCTGGACTCGCGTCAGCAGACACCAGTGAAACCTTCTGCCAATCCCAAGGTGAGCCCATCCGCCATCCCAGGGGTGCTGGCAGGGCCCGACGGTCCAACACCCAGCCTGGGGGCAGCTGAAGGGACATCCAGGCACATCCCAGCAGAGCTCAGACTCAGGGTCGGGGAACAGACGCGGGGGGGTGGGGGGCCTGGCACCTACAAGCCCCTGGACGGACCCCACAGGGCCACCGCCCTGCTCAGCCTCACCCCGCCTCCCACTCACGGGCCTCTCCAGAAGGGCTTTTCCCGCAGGCAGAATTAACGCCACTTTTTGGTCCACAACAAACACAGAAAATCCGGGGCCCTGGGCGGTTTTCTAGAGTGCTCGTCACCACAGATGGGACGGAACAAACTGTCCGTGGTCAGCTAAGAGCTCCCAAGCGAAGAAAACAAATCTGGCAGCCAGCCTGTCACCCGGCCAAGTCAGCGATTACTGTGTTTTTTTCTGGGAACCCAGCAATCAGGAGGACAGAAGCTGAGAGGTGACACTGCAGCCCTCAAGAAGTCGCGCGCTGGTTCACTGCACACTGGTGGGCCAGAGCAACGGTAAGGTGGGGAGAGCGCCTTGCACGCGGCTGACCTGGGTTCGATCCCCAGCATCCCATATGGTCCCCTGAGCCCCACCAGGAGTAATTCCTGAGTGCAGAGGCAGGAGGAACCCATGGGTGTCGCTGGTGTGGCCCCAAAACAAAACAAAACCAAAAAAAAGCAAAAACCCTGCAGCTTGGACAGACGCCCCCAAGATCCACACCTGGGCTGCTTCTGAAACAGAGACTCCCAGCTGCGGCTCTCACAGCCACCGTCCGCCGGGCCTGAGGCAGGACACCTGCCCCCACAGGACTGGCTTGTTTTTTATGAAAGCGGAACTGGCAGGTGCAAGAGGCTGGTAGAGGGGTTCGGGCATTGGCCTCGGACGACGCTGACCCAGGCTCAGCCCCCAGCCCCGCACACAGTTCCCGGGAGCGGACGGAGAGCCAGAAGGAAAGAAACCTTGAGGACCGCTCAGTGTGGCCCAGTCCCCTCCCCCACCCCCACCCAAATGAAAATTAAATGGGGCTGGAAAGGTCGTACAGCAGGTGTGGTGCTTGCGAAATGAAAACAAAACAGGATCCTCACTGGCTCTGAGAACAAATGATAGTTTGTGTCACCCGCGGGATCCTGGGGTGACAGGGTGCAGGCCTCACACGTGGCTGGGTCCAGCTCCATCTCCGGTGCCACAGTTTCCCAAGCACCACGAGGGTGGCCCGGCCGACAGGACACAGGGCACCACCGTCTTGCAGCCCTGAGTGCTCAACCCCTGGCCCGTGGCCGAGCACCGCCAGAAGGGGCTCCCACGCGCCCCCAAGAAATAAGAAATAATATCGGTCACGATACTGTGGGGCCGAGCTGACTCCTTAGGACCAAACCCGTGCCGTGGCCACACGGCTGGCAGGGGAGGAGCGACTCACAGACCAGGCCCTAACGTGGAGACTCAAGAACCACGGGCCACGCGGTCGTGCAACCGAGAGCCTCAGTTTCCCCGCCGGTCAAAACAGGGATGCAGGTCTGGGCGGCACCAGCTCAGCTCAGACTCTGCCAGGAGGCTCCAGGGACAACCTCGCCCTGAAGTAACAGGCGTTCCTGGGAACGCAACGAGAGCTCCGGCTGCCAGGAGCAGGGGTGTCCCCTGCTCGCAGCCGGCCACGACAGCCCACTTTTGGGTGCCACGGCCCCACACACGTCCCATCAGGCTCGCCCCGCCAGCCGAGGCCGGGGAAGGCTCTAGAAACCCAAGCCCGGTCCACATTTTCGGTGTGTACCCGGAGCGCCCGACAGTCCAGTGCCTCTATTTCTTCAGGACCGATATGTTTTATTTCAGTCAAATGGTTCTATTCACTGATCCTCTGGTGAGAAGGAGCTTTGGCCAGATGTTCCCTCTACTCCAAAAACACACGCACGCGCGTGCGCGCACACACACACACACTCTCACACATACACACTCTTCTCACACGCACACACCACACACACACACATTCTCTCAAACGCACTCACACCTTCTCTGCTCACATACCCATATTCTATCTCACACGCACGCTCTCTCACACACATCCGCACATACACCCTCACACGCCTGCGTACAGACACCTCAACCAGTCAACACTCTCACTCACCCAGCTCGGTGGCCACCCCCTCCAGGAAGCCTTCCCGACGTGCTCCCAAGCTATGATCTCTCCTCCCACGGGAAGCACCCTCACCATGACACACACTTCCCCCCCCCACCCCACGCTGCCCCAGCAACATTTCCACGCAAACACTCACAGTTCTGTGCAGTGCATCATTCCTTGAAAAGTCGGGACTGTGCCGTCTCCCGCCACTGCGTTCCCTTCCCAAGGGACCAGCCCAGAAGCCCTTGGCAAGCATCTCCGTCTCGAAGTGAACTCCGCACGGAGAGAACTCAGAAGCCGACAGCAAGGCTGGCTCCACTCCGCTGCCCCCCGCTTGCCCACCTGTCGCTCTCTCCATCACCCACAGGCTCCTGGAGGCCCGTCCGGCTGTGAAACCCCCAGAGGGCCCCTGCGCTGGCAGGCACAGCCCAGACCCACCGCTGCCTGTCCGGCCAAAGGGTCCATCTCCCTGCCCGAGCCCCATCATGGCCAGACCACCGAACTCTGTGTGCTTGCCGGGGATTCTTTCAGGGGCCCCCACCCCCCCACACCATCCTGGCTGAAATCCCCGTAGAGGTCCGAGGAAGGTGCGAGAAACGGGAGAAACGGGAAGAAGTGGACAGGCAGGCGGGTGGCTCGCAGGAACGCGTCTTTCCAGACACCATATGTCAGCCCTGGGCACAGACATCTTACTGGGGTTCACGTGCTCCAAAAGCACACGTGAGGGGACTGGACTCTGTGGGCTTTGGGCTGACCAGCACGCACAGTCCAGCCTGCCCCAGCCTCTGCGCCAGGCCCATGAGAGCCTCCTTCGAGCGTCTGGAGAGCCCACGTCCCAGCGGGCTGGTGCTCCAGGCCAGCGTCCGAGTCCCCGGGGAGCTGTGAAAAGCTCTGTGCCTGGGGCCAGCCCTGGCCAATTAAACCCGACCCTTGGGGACATCAGCAGGCCGTTCGGCAGCCAAGTCTGAGAGCCACGCGTGCAAAACTGGGCCCTTCCCAGGGCACCGTCTCTGAACCCGCTCCCTGTCCTCCGTGCAACATCTGGTATGGGGCCAGGGGCCACCCAAACAGTGCTCAGGAGGACCCAGGGCCCGGTGGTAATTCTCGGTCAACTGAGCCATTGGTTCAGAACAAGGGCCTGAGGACAAGATGTTTCGTGGGTGCTATAGTGCTGGAGACGTGGGTGGGTGGGTGGGTGGGGGGTCCCCGCCCCAGCCCTGTGGTGGTGCGGGCCTCCAGACCTGGCCTACATTAAGAAGTGACACCTGTGGACATCATCCGGTTGGGTCATGGCCAGACATTCGTCCAAACCACTGTGTTACCTCCTGGCGCCTAGAACTTTCCTTGTAAGTAGATTTTTTCACTTAATGTCCAAAGAGAAATGCATGTTTACAAAACTGAAACAGTTCGGACCCAAAAAGCAAAAAACGAAACAAAAAAAAAAAACTGAAACAGTTCGGAAATAGGCAAAGGAAACACCTGCTCCTTTCTCCGCATCCCTGCAGGCTGGGTACCAATCCTCTTCGAGCTCCTCCTATTCCTTCATCCACTGGGAAGTGATTTTATTTGTATTAGGAGTCTTGACCCAAGGAAGTAAAAGAATTTAAAAAGCTGCTGGGAACCCCCGGGGTCTGGTGCCCAGGGGTACAGCGGCGGCTGGCACCCGCTGCCCTAAGAGGGCCTGGAGACAGCTCTTTGTAAGGGACATCCCAGCTGCCCTCCTGTGGATGGAAGATGCTACAGAGGAACGCGGGTCCCTCTGGAAAGCCCCAGGACACAGCGGCAGGGCCCACAGGGGACACGTCCCTCTGCGCCAAACTGCAGAACCAGGAGCCGGGGACTGAGGCGCCTCCCAGGGCCAAGTTCAAGGTTCAAGGCTGCCGGAAGATTCACATCACGAAGAAGCAGACCCTGGACCAAGTCGAAGGCGGGTGAGTCTGCAGACCTGGCTTGGAAAGTGGCTCGTCCCAGACAGCTGTGCAAGGCAATGCCACGTAGCCTTCCTGGGGGCCCCTAGACAAACGGTGGGTCCTGCATTCCCGGGTCTCAGAGCTGCCCCCATGACTCCCACTCCTGACACCCCCCCCCCAGACAACGAATCCTACTTTCTATTCCAAAAGAAAATTTAAAAGAAGTCGTAACTTATTAACAAATATTTAAATTCCCTCCCTCCTTTTTCATATATATTTTTTTAAGCTCAGTTCATCAGATGGTTGTCTCAGTCTCCTGGAGACGATGGCACCAATCAATTCAGCCCATGTGAAAAGCATTCCAAAGCACATTCACATGTAAAATGCGGCGGGTCGACCTTACGTTTGCTGATGCCAAGCATGCAAGTAAGTGTGTTATAGAATAAGGTCGCCTTTATGCCAGCCGGTGCGGCTCCTGAATCTTTCCCATAGGCTTAATCCCCCATGTCCGACACCGCTCGGCTCAGCCAAGTAAAACAGGCTCTCTGGGAGAGCACACACAGACGCACAGGGCCGGCGAACCCAAAACCCAACTCCTGAAAGGGAAGCCCACTGATTTTTTTTCCCTCTTTTTTTTTTTTGTTTTGAAGGCTGGGCAAAGCATCTGACCCCCTTGCCTGCCTGCAGTCTCCTGGGTCACAGCGGCCCTGCTTGTCTTGGGTCCTGTGAACACAGAACGAGGGGAAATTCCCAACTGCTGCTCTTTGGCGAAACACAGGGCTTGTCATCACACTTCCAACAATCTACATTTTGTCTCAATATAAACCTTGCGTTGTGTGCATTGTGTGTGTGTGTGTGTGTGTGTGTGTGTG